TATCTCTACAACTTAACAGCTTTACAGCAGTTTTCTAACAAAAATACAAGCAGTACAGATTCTGGAGCATGCTTATGTGGATTAAAATCCCAAATCTAACACTTATTAATTATGTGATCTTGGGGTTTAGTCAGTCAGTGCCTCCCTTTTCTCATCTGTTAAGTGGAAATGATAGCATTTGCCTCACAGTATTATTTTGAGACATAAATGGATTAATTGGGAAAGGCTATATAAGTGATAGCAATACAACCAGTTTTTTAAAACTTTGTCTTTTTAGTGAATCCATTTGTTAATAAAAATACCCAGAGAAACTAGAACTTTCAGATTTAGTTTCAGGAACACTGGTTAATGTTGAGAAAGATTAAATTTTACTGGTTACATTTTTATAAAAACACTTGTATTTATAAAAGATGAGTTTGAAAATTAATGTCATGATTTAGTAAGCATGGTCAATAATAAATGTCCTCCTTTGGATCTCTGTACCTTTCTCAGATAACCATAGTTTTTAATACTAAGTATTAGAATAAATGAAATTAGATTATTCAAAAATAAGCATATTCAGTCATATTGCTGTAAAGTAGTTATGTTTTACAAATGTATATACTATGAATAATATGTTATATATAAGATTTCAAATAAACATTTTGGACTGTATGCTCAGTGTTTTCTCATACAAGTATAAGAAAAACAAACCCACTGCCGGAAGAGTGAACAGCAAACCCCTCTACCTGGCATACTTAGATATTCTATTTAAGTGAGTTACTGCATATTCCATACATGGATTGCCATCTGGGTATTGGCATTCCTTTATGTTGCATTATTTGCATTATTTGGATTATTCTTAATGAGATTTTAGAATCCTGTAAACTAATTTCATAGACATCATAGGAATCATCAGTCCATTGTATCTTGTATATATTTTTCAGCAGTTTTAAAAGGTAATGATAGTGGATCTAATGATTATCAAAGCCTTTCTATTGTCTAGATTTAAAAGAATGGAGCTATTTGCTGTTCAAGGTGTAACTATTAAATCCCAAGCCATTATATACTTTGTGTGTAGTCATTGTACATTTATCTCATTGTTCTCTTAGGAATATTATTTTTTTTGTGTGTGTATATATACACACACAGGTATGTTGGAAGGTGAAAGCAGATAATGTTGGGAGGTAAACATTGGAAGGGTGTATACACATACACACATATGAGGTTAGTAGGGATTTTTGTCCCATATGACAGTGAGGGAAAGGGGTTTAGTGATTTAGCCCAAAACCACATGGTTAATACATTATTAAATTTGTATTTGGAGTTAAATGTAGAGAGACAGAATAGCAGTATATACACATACATACATGTGCATTCATAGGTAATCTGTTTAACACACTACTAACAGATTTATTCTAATAAGACTATTATAAGTTACATATTTTTGTAAAGTCTGTCTTGTGTGTATGAGTTGGAGAAGACAAAATGTGAAATTATAATGTAGGCCTGTAAGTAGGAAAAGATATACTTTACAAATCTTAGGATCACTTCTGTTTTAAGTAATGTCTACTTCAAATAATGTTGGAAGTTTTTGGCCAGAGGTAGTTTGCTTCATGTTATGTCCAAGCCCCTACTAATTTCTAATGCTAGACAGACTACATCAAGGGTAGATTTCTTTTTCTTCATCTTCTTATATCAGTGCCTATCATGAGTCTAAAATAAAGTAAAGATTCTATTGCTAATACAATAAAATATCTCTCTCTTGCTTTTAACAATTTCATAGTATCATTAGAAAAGCCATACACTTGAACTGTAAACAGGATTAGAAATTTCACAAGAAAGTTTGTGACAAATGGCCAAATTCATGGCAGTTTTAAATGTTTAGAGATATAAGATTGTATATACTTAAGGAAGAGGAAAGGGGAAAAGTGACAGTGAAGCAAATGTGTGGTATTTAAGCTAAGAAAAATATGAGTACAGGTCATTTCAGATATTGAACATCAGTAGGGGAGCAGATGGTTCAGGGTACAAAGAAAAAACACCCTAAGCTCCCTGGCTGCAATACTTTTGAAAGTCCACAGTAAGTGCAGCTTAGGCAAAGACAGAAATGGTATAGATGACCATCTGTTGGAATCAAATGATTATATATGTGAATAAAAGAATAGAAGATTGAGATTAATTTGTGGAAGACATTATTTGTCATATAAGGAAGTCATTAGTCTTTATAGATGGTAGGCAAATGCCTGAATTTTTTGTAATAGGAATGTAAATTAATTAGGTACAGATATGTTGGGAGGTGAGCATTGGAAGGGTAACCATTGAAGGTAAGAATTTCTCCTAGTGTCCCATTTACATGTCTATTTCTACTATTAGATTACAGCGCAGTTTTCATAAGTAGAAACTTTTGTTTGGTTCTATGTACTAATCTCCTAAAACTGTCTGGACATAGTAGGTATTCAATAAATCTTGATTGCCTGAAGACCATTCAAGAGAGGCTAGTTTAGTAATCCACCTGGCTCCTTGGTGGAGACTAACAACAAATGGAAGGGAAAAAGGACATGGTAAGTAGGGAGCCAGTTTTCCTTAAAAACATACGCTGTAGCAGAGCTGCTCAAAAGTAAGACATTTACCTCAGTAGGATAGCTGGGGCAAATAGTAGTATGTATGCCTATTTATTTTAAAGCTTTTTATGGTACATTATTAAGTCTCATCTAGGTAAGCATTATTTTTTGGTTAGTTACTTTTAAAGGTATTAAAATCAAACAAAACTGAAGCTTAAACCAAGATAATCTTCCTTGTTTTTCTGCAGATTTTATTTTAGTGACAAATCATAGTATATTTCTGTATGAATGTCACTTCTATCCTTTTTTCAGTTTCCCCCCTTTAAAATATCTTATTTATATATAGTGCTTTGTAGCTAGCAATCTGTTTTTCACATCTTATTTAAACCTTAAAAGAACCTATGTGAGGTTAGTGGGAATTTTTGTCCCATATGACAGTTAAGGAAAGGTGGAAAGGTGTTTTGAATGATTTAGCCCAAAGTCACCGTGGCTAATACATGATTATATTTGTATTTGGAATTAAGTGTAGAGAGACAGAATAGCAGAGCGTTTGTGAGAGCAGGCTGTGAAATCCACTGGATCTTAGTACTGGTTTCACCATTTAGTAACCCTATGATCTTAGGCGATTTATATAATCTTTTTATGGCTTCAGTTTCCTTGGGTGTAAAATGGGGTATCTTACTTTAGTTCATTCATGTAGGTTTGACCTATCTAATTTGAAGCCACTTCCCATATGTGGCTCTTTATTACTCTCTTTCATACTATCCTAATAGTTTTTTATATTAATTACATTTTGAAATGATAGTATTTTGAATATGTTGGGTTACACATGTTATTAAAATTATTGTTAGCTGTTTCTTTTAACTTTTTAACATGTGTCTGCTAGAAAATTTAAATTACATATATGTGTCTTGCATTATATTTCTCTTGGACAGTTCTGCTTTAGACCAGAGCTTGGCAAACTGCAGACTCCCAAATCTAGCCAGATGCCTATTTTCATAAAATGTTATTGGAACACAGTCATACCCATTCAATTAAATATTTATGTAAAGATTGCTTACTCCTGCTCTAGTTCGTAACTGACAGATGCTCTGTGTTTTCTTTACTTAACAGTGAATATGAGAGACAGTCAGAAAGTAGCTTAGTGGCATAATTAATGAATTACATACTTAAAAGTGGTAAATACTATGGTATGTGGATGATACCTCAATTTTTTTTAAGTGAATTCCAGCCTGGTTTGGTAGATGTAGTAAAGCAGTACATTAAATATGATAGTTAATAATGAGAACATGCAAAGAAACAAACAAATGCAAATCAAGTATGGTGAACGTAAAAAAATTGTTTTAATTGTTCTTTATGTACTCCCATTGTCAAGTATTTTTAATTGCCTCTAAGAAGTCATGCCACCTGAGAATATTTGCAAGTAGTTTACTGATAAGAAAACCAATTAACCATTATTTACTGCTTACCCAAACTGTCATTTACACCTTACCCATAAAAAAGGCTTATTATCAAGATACACTCTTTTTATTTTAAACTTAATAAATAACTCTAAGATAATGTACAATAATACATACATAGCCAATCTCAGTAAATAGTCAAATGAGTAAATACGAAGTATAAATAAATAAAATCACTGCTTTATGAAAATTAGTACTCTTCTGGAAGCTCTTACCTAACTATAGAAATTCTGTCTTTCTGAAGTTTTTATTTTTAGCAAGCTGTTGAAGGAAGAAAATAGTATTACCAGAAGGGAATTGGAAGGCTCTTCATAAATGTCCATATCCTGTATGTGTTTAGGTATTTTTTTCTTTAAGGAATTACTAAGCATCTACCATATACAAATCCCAGATATTTTCATATTGCTTTGAAACTGATAAAATATTATCTACTTTGTTCAACTGATTCATTAATTTGTTATATGTAGGGTATGTGCACAATCTGCTTTATGAAATCTATACAGCAATAATCAGTTCATCATTTCCTTCTGAACACAGCAACAGGTTTTTATTTCATTGCTCTGAAAACACCTGGTTTTATAGTACCTTATTTATTATGTCAGTTAGGATAGCATGTTTCTAAGGGCACAGACTTTGGAACCAGATAGACCTATTTCCTAATTTGACTCTATTTACTAACTTAATATGACCCAAAACAGCCTATTTAATATTTAACATCTCTAAGTCTCCATTTCTTTGTCTGTATAATGGAATAATACCTTCTCCAGTGAGTTTTTTTTTTAAAGCAATAAAGAAGAAAACAAGTGTAAAGCACTTAGCACATACTAACTACTCAATAAGTTGTAACTTCATATTATTATTGCTCTTTGATGTGTTTTTTAATCAAACATTAAATATTTTTGGTTGTCAGCATTATACATTTCATTATGTATTTGACTGACTCCTGCCTTTTCAAAAACATAATGAAATATTAAGTAACATTCTATTTTGCTTTCAGTCAAAGAAAAATAAGAAGAAATCAAAGTCAGATGCTAAAGCAGTGCAAAACAATTCACGCCATGACGGAAAGGAAGTTGATGAAGGTACTTGAGCAAGTGAAAGGATTATAGAAAAAATTTTAGTCCTTTTTTACCAAGGTGCATTATATAAAAGCTGCATTTGTTTCACTTAATCTTGTATCCAGCTCTTTTTTAATAACTATAGATTTTAATCTACAAATATGTAACACTGTTAGTAGACACTATTTAAATTATCTGAATTATTTAAGTATCTAATAGTGCTTTTCCTGAATGGAACTGCTATAAAATTTAAGGTCTGGTTCCTTATCTTGAGAAACTGAAAAGCCATTTGTTTTGCCTTTGTTTCCAGAAGTGATCTGGGTCTTTCCCCGGTACTTGTAAATATACACTCTCTATAAGGCTATAAACAAAATTGTTCAGTAAGCCCCTTATTGACATTACCAAAAAAAAAATTAATTTATGTTACACTCATCAGTTCTGTCCAGCAAGATAAAAAGATGTATAAAATGACTTACATCTATCGTTTTGTCAAACCATAGATGACAGATTTGATTAAAATTGCAAGAACAAATAATGGAAATAATGCTAGTTAGCTACCTAAAACAACATAGCCTGTAGAATAGATTCTTAGGATAAATTAATATAATCACACTGATTTTAGTTTAACATTTAAACTTATCATATTTTGTGTGCCTCACCCCATTTTCCCCTCCAAAACTACAACTTTTTTGTCTTCCCCTTGCTGAATAATATTTTTTTTTCTGGGGCTATGTCAGGAGCCTGGGAAACTAAAATTAGTCACAGAGAGAAACGACAGCAGCGTAAACGTGATAAGGTGCAGACTGATTCTGGTTCATTGGATTCAACTATCCCTGGGATAGAAAATGCCATCACAGTTACCACCGAGCAACTTACAACTGCATCATTTCCTGTTGGTTCCAAGAAGAATAAAGGTATATTAGTGGAACATAAGAGTGATACATCAAATCCTACTCCTTTTAATCAGATGTACAAAATACCATTACGTCACAGTCTATTTTGAACTGCTTATTACATCATTGTGCTGATATACCCTTCTTCATGAGAGCATTGTAGACCACATACTGGTTTACCTGATAACCAGCAGTGTTACTTGTTACATACTGCCTAATGAATGGCCTATTAACTTAAAATTGCCTTTCTGCCTTGAGTCACTTGAGAAAATGATGTTGCCTTTCTTTCTCGTCTTTATTGCTTTGCCCCAGCTCTATTACATTTCCATTTCTTATATTGGACAAGACACTAATTAAATGGAATTATTTGTCACCATTCTGCATGTTTGTGCTTTCATTCCAAGATGAAACTGGATATTCCATGTTCTGGATATTGCAGGTTCTATCTTGACTTCATAGTCAAGGTACGCCCTGACTTTTTGAGAATGCCATAGATGTTTGAGTAAAGCTAGACTGGAACTTCAGGGGTTATTAAGCTAATATTCTTCAGATGCTCAAACTTTCCAAAATTGAAGGCTTCTTGGTAGCTCTTTACATTGTTAAAATCATTTTTGCCCTGGAGACATCATTCTGCAGTGATACTGTTCAACTTGCTTCTTCTGTCACCTTTTTATTGTCTGCCCACCCCCACTCCAGACCACTTTCTTTTTCTCCAAAGCCTTGTTACCTTTTATATTTTTGTTTAATGACTTACTGGAATTTATTGCTTTGATACAGCAATGACTTCTACTTACCCATTCTCACTATCACATATTAGCAAGCCACGCTTTAGCGCTTCTATTGGTGACTTCTTCAGTTTTGAGCATGCCTTCCTTTCTAGCACACTCCTGTGTCATGATGTTTTTTTTATGCATTTTGATCATTATGCTTGTTAGTGAAATAATATCTTTGTTATAACATGTATTCTCACCTCATGCCATATTTCCTAAGTCCTGGTCGCAAATACTGACAGAGTTCTTCTTAAATTGATGTGTTTGCTTCCAGGATTGTTGAAAAGGCAGCTGGTATTTTGAGAGGTGGCAAAGTTGAATCCAATTACAGAGCCCAGTTCTCTAGTTCCTACTTAAAAGAATCTTGATAACCCTTATAGAACAGCAGACTCTATATACTTGGGCAGTTTTCCAGGTCCTTTATTGGCATTTTAGTTGACTAAAAATATGGTAACTAGAGAAGTCAGTACCTTAAGGACAAGTGAAATATGTTGTGAGTAAAACTGACTCTTTTCCAGTTTAACAATTTAGTACTTGAAGGAGCAATTTATTAAAAATATTAAGTAAAATTTAATTTGTATGTTACTTCTAATTTAATGTGCATAGTAGACTATTTAGTATTAAATAAATTTTATTTCTATTTCAACCAGGTGATTCTCATCTAAATGTTCAAGTTAGCAACTTTAAGTCTGGAAAAGGAGATTCTACACTTCAGGGTGAGAGAAATTACATGTAACTTAAATTGAAGGCCCATCAACGTAGAAACTTATATACATGTCTCTTTCCTCATATGAATGATACAGGAGGAAAAAAAGGCTTAGAAATGATTTTTAATTACTAAAGTAACATAATCACAGTCCAGAGATTTTGGAAAACGGATAAGAAATATCACTCCCACTTCTAACAGTCTTTGGTATGTTCTAGTTGTTTCTCCCCTTCCCCCATATGTAAAAATACTATTTTAGTAATAGTTTATATGCAATTTTGACTCTTGCTTGCATTATTGAAGCCAATAGAGAAAAGAAGGATTTTTGTTTGAGACTTGGGTTTAATATAGGGACATATGGGATAAAAGACCTTAACCCCTGTTGATTAAGGAAAAAGCCTAATACCTGTAAGCTTCTAAACTGCTTCCTTAACAGTGTCAAATACTTCACAATAGATGGATTATGGTTGAAAGTTAATTCAGTGCTTCACAATTATAAAATATGCTTTATTTACTCATTTATGATAAAGAGTGAATTAAGTAAGTTACCATACCTGAAGACTAAAGAATTATAGTAAAATGTAAATTCAGAAATGAAAAAGCACCTTCTTGTTTCAGGCTTGTTCTTAACTCTGCTTTCTTCATTCCCATGGTTCTCAATCCTGGCTACATATTACAGTCATCTAGGAAGCTTAGGAAAGCAATACATACATGTATATAAAAAGAAACATGTACTTACATATACATACACACTGTGTATCTGTGTGTGTTAGACACACACACACACACATACCTATCTGTACATATACTTGCATGCAGATACATGCTGATGCCAGGACTCTACCCCTAGAGATTCTGGTTTTGTTTGGTCTGGGCTGAGGCTCCAGTGTCTACTTGTAAGAAAATTTTCACTTGATTTTTAATGTGCAGCCAGGTTTTAGAATCACAGCCATATACATAATATAAATATATCAATATTTAAGGAAGTATACATAACTGAGAAGTCTTCATATTCTTTGTGAGTATTCTGAGTATACCAGAATGTGTTTTTCCTGTTTGTTGTACTTTTCTTTGAGCAAGTCATTCTGCTGTTGAAAACACCATTAATGTATGTATCAAGTTCTAACCTACTCTTAGTTTTTAAATTAAAAGCCGTCATGGTGACCATATCACTTGAAATTCTTCAATTTTGTCTTTAAGCTCAAGCTGTTTAGAGGACAGTAGGGGGAAAAATGAGTGATAAATATAGAACACCAAGCAATCACAGAAATTTGAAAATATCCTAGTTTTTAACAAAGAGTGCTGTATCAGAATTTAATCTTTATTTTATTTTCTTTAAGTTTCTTCAGGATTGAATGAAAACCTTACTGTAAATGGAGGAGGCTGGAATGAAAAGTCTATAAAACTCTCCTCACAGATAAGTGCAGGTGAAGAGAAGTGGAACTCTGTTTCACCTACTTCTGCAGGCAAGAGGAAAACTGAGCCATCTGCTTGGGGTCAAGACACTGGAGATGCTAATGCAAATGGGAAAGACTGGGGAAGGAGTTGGAATGACCGTTCAATATTTTCTGGCATTGGTAAGAACTGTTAGAAATTTTTTAATTCATTTAAAATTGCTTATCTAGCACATCAGAATTTTCCAGGAATGAAAAAAAGACTCATAAGTAGAAAAATTAATAAAGCCATAGAGAAATAATAGTAATTCATCTCAGATCCTTTGTATGGAGCAAAGCAGGACCTAAATACACAAATAATAGCATTTACCATTTACTCTTAGAGCTCTCACGTACTTTTACCACTTTTGATTATTAATGTAGTGAATGGATATAATTGTGTATTTTTAATGACATAATAAATGTGATATGTGAGCAGATTTTTTATTAATGTCAGCAGTTCTCGTGTTTACATACAGATGGTAAATGGAAGAACAGTTTATAGCATCCATTAATACAGTGTTTAGCAGTCTGCAAAATGCCTATTTGCAATTGAGGTTTTTTCCTTAATTTTAAAGGTAAAGACCAGTAGTTGAGAAACTTACTTTCTGTCGACAGCCATCAAGTTAAAGGCAATTTAATTTCAGGTGTTTGTGTGTACATTTTAGAAAAGAAACCCACGCTTATTATGGAAAACTGCAAAAAAAGAAGGAAAAACCCAGTGTTATCACACCACCCAGTGACAACCACTGTTTTTTATACTTCATTATGGTCTTTTTTTCTACCTTTGTGAATTTTTTTTTTTTAATAATCCAAATCAGATATGCCTTTTTATGTTCCCCCTGCCACTTAATATTGTAACAAAAACATTTTTCTTTTTGTAAGCATTTGTATTTATTGGTCCTGTAACATATTGTATAAGCATAGCATATATTACTTAACTATCCCCATAATTATCAAAGAAATAATTTTTCTTTTTTTTAACCATCGTAAGTGATACTGCATCAAATATATTTGTTTTGGGGTTATTTAGGATAGGTTTTTGGGAGTGGTATTGAATTAAAGGGAGTATGAATGGTTACAATGCTCTGCAACATTTTTCTAAGAATTCTAATTTATACTGTCAGCAACAGTGTGAGTGCCATTCATCAAGGCTGGGTATTCTTATTTTTTAGAATCTTTGCTGATTTGATAAGTAAAAAATACATGAATTTTTTGTTGTTAGCTTTTTAAAATCACTAAGGAGGTTGAGTGTTTTTCACAACTTTCTTGATCATTTCTATTTCTTTTATGAATTGTCTATTCATGTTCTTTGCCCATTAGTCTAATGGCCTCTTATTGTTTGTTCCATTAAGTTGTAATTCCTTGTGCATTAAGCATATAATTTTTTCTGTTGTGCTTGTTGCAGATTTATTGTTACTTTATTTCTTTTAGTTTGGGGGAGCAATAAACAACACAGAGTTTTAAGTGTTAAAATAGAAAAAATCTCTTCCTCTTACTTGCTCTTCCCATCACTTTTAAGCTTTGAAAGACTCATGTTGACTAATTTCCCTGAGAAGCAAACGCTAGATCATATACTATTTTTCTTAAGGTTGTTCTTCCCTTGCAATGTCCAGAAATTGTGCAAAAATATCCAGATTTCTTTGGAAGATAAGACAGTCCCTAAGTTCCAAGCCTTATTTTCAGCAGTGAACAAAGCATAAATTTCTATGCTGTAAAGCATCCTTCACTTTTAATAAAAGGTGGTCAGGTTTTATGGAGTAATGTTAAGAACTGTGCCTTTTGAGATATTTGCAATTTATGAAAGCTATATAGTATTTTCATAATTAGCACATCAATTAGATTGTACTTGCTTAATGTTGCTGCGTAATTATAAACAACATCATAGAGTTCCTGCCTAGATGGATTAGGACCTTTGTTGAAAGGGAACTATATTAAATTTAGGTTTACAGTGACTCACTATGACAGTTGTGACTGGTCTCAAGGATGTATATATTCCTTAAAATACTCATGCAAGTAAGAAACATCTTGAAAATGTTGAAGATAGCACAGTATAGTGAAATGATCACTGACTAGTTCATACAGACCTACTCGGTGTGAATCCTTACTCTTCCACATACTGGCTCTTAGGAAATGAGGTAAGATATTTGAAGTGTATGAGTAATTATGAGTTACTCATACACATAATTATGAATTAAGTGTTTAAGTAATTATGAGGATTGGCTATAATGAATTTCAAGTACCAAGTTCAGTGCCTGGCCCAAAGTAGCTTAATTATTATAGATAATAGGGTAACTTCCTATAGTGGAAAAAAAGCATAGGTTTAGGAAGTTGGAATAAGTTCTAGTTATAGCTCAGCTGTTTTCTAGCTGTCAGCAAGTTGCTTAACTACTCTGAAACTTTGCCTAGCAAGGTTGCCCTAAGGATTAGAAGTGGTTGTTGTAAAGATCCCAGCACAGATATAGACACTGAATAAATAGTAGTTTTTGCTATTTTAAGTGGTTAATCTCAAAAGTTATCTTCAAATACTGTTATCATAGCTTTAAATCTGTACATATCTTTCAAATTTCATTGCAAATTGAAGGTTCCAAGTGACGTTCTTTATTTTAACAGCTGCTTGGTCTAGTGTGGATAGGGGAATGAATACCTCTGAACAGAATTCTGCTTCTTTTGCATCTCTCACACTTAACTCTGCTGTTCCTGGTATGTGAAAACAGTCTTTCATTTAGTTAACAAAAAAAATTTCTGTTTAAATTAATTTTAGCACTTGCTGTTTGAAAAAGTAATCAAGACTCAAATATAGGTATCAACATAATGATTGATATATAGTATAAAGTAGCAGAGGCCTTAATAAAAGAGGGACCTAAAGAAAGACCTAAATTCTTAACTACAGGTGGCTTAGTTCCTTTCTGTAGTGGAAATACAAAGATGCTGTGGCCTAACATAACTGAAAGTACACTGGCACACAGACAAATGCAGGTAGAAGGCCTTCCCTTCAGGCTCATGTTACTCCTCTGTTATTCATATACTCCTACCTTTCTTCTTTCAGTTTTGCATTTTATTCCTATGTGCCCTTATTTATTCATCATGAGTTCTATAAACCTTTCAGGTTATGCTCAAAATACTTAGAGTATCTGCTTATTTGTAAAATACATTATTTACTGGTAAACCGCAGTCAATTGTGCATTACTTAAATGGATATGCCTTGTGTTAATCATATATAGAATCTATATGTACCTAACAAATATTATATAAATGTGGACATTTCATTTATAATGCTTAGTTCATGTTGGAATTCATGAACCCAGTGTACTAATTATGTAGTTCCATAGTTTGTGGAGGTACTAGTCTAGAAAACTTGTCAGCAAACTTTTTCTATAAAGGCCCAATAATAATATTTTAAGCTTTGTGGGCCGTAGTGTCTCTGCTGCAACTACTTAATTCTATGATGTGGCAAGAAAGCAACCAGAGACAATACATAAACAGATTGGTTCTAAAATTTTACTCCTTTGATTTCTTTTTTCAACCATTTAAAAATACTAAAAACTTTTCTTGGCCCATGTGCCATATAAAGGGTGACTGGATTTGGCCTACGGGGTGTAGTTCACCAACCCATGATTTCATATCTTACATTTCAGTTCCAGGGGTACAAGTTAATTGCTTCCTTCATTTGGTGATTTTGTACGATACAGATAACAATTCTCTTAATATATTCAGAGAAAGCAGCATGGACTGCTTAAGAAATAGCAATAATATTACTGTAGTGCTCATAAGGACCTAATGTGCTAAGTGTATATGAATTTTATAGGGTTACTCTATTAAAATTTTGATTTCAAAAACAGGTAACTATCAAGTATATATCAAGCAGTTATATTAGTGGAAGGCTAGTAAAATAATCTATAACCAAGTGAAAATTTTTAAGTTAGTAAGGACATTTATAAGAGAATGTGATTATGTGTATGTCTTTTATACAAACAGAGAGTCTTCATAACCATTTCTTTACACCAGTGGCTCTGAATCAAAAGTGAGTTTCAGAGTTCCTAAGACTCCTATACATACAGAAATTTTGATTTGGAAAGTCTGGGGTGTATATATATCCCTGATGGAGAACCAGCTGCTTTACATTTACATTCTAAAAAGAATTTGTACTGTAGAGCAAGAGTTTTTAAACTTGAATCCATGAACTGGCATGCCACCAAAACTATATGCAAAATTTTGTGTTAAGTTCTGGACAGTAGTCCACCACAGCTTTCATCATATTCCTAAAGAACTGTGTGACCCTCACTTTCACCCTACCTTTCCCCACCCCAAAAAAATCAAAACAGAAAAAACTTAGAAGATAATATTCTTTCCTCTTTAAATGCACCTGAACCTAACAGTCTCCAAACCACCAGCACAGTTCTCTTATCTCTTTGGTTTCTCTCTGCCTTACCTCTCTAGATAATCATCTATTTAACTTTTCCTTAGGCAGAAAGTTCTAACAAATTCAGACATTTTCTATCCTCTGCTTCAGAGTTCTAAGAATGTAGGCATACCTGAAACAACCAGGATTTCTTTAATACTTTATTTTTCATTAAGAAGGAAAATGAAACAACATTTTTTCACTTCTTGAAATTTGCAGATAACCAGTTTGAGATATGTATTAGAAAAGACAAAAATCTAATGGATGGTACTAGGGAAGAAATACATGTCTTATCAGTGAAGTAGATCAAGTGATTTTCATGCTTAATTTAAAATCACCCTCAATTCTGCTTTTCCTTTATCTTAACTCTTTTTCTAATGCCTGAATTTTTCCTTTTAGGGGAAATAAAAAATAATTAACTCTCCATGTGCAAAGTATAGAACTATTGTTATAAAACATCATTAGAAAATTCCATTTTTAATTTTATTGCATTCGTTTTCATTTAAGGGTCTACTGCTGAGCCAGTTTCTCATTCTACCACTTCTGATTATCAGTGGGATGTTAGCCGTAATCAACCCTATATCGATGATGAATGGTCTGGGTTAAGTATGTCCTTTTAAAAATTATGTTTGTTTTTTTTTTGTTTTTGGGATTTTCTTTCTAGCACCCTAAGTTCATACTTTGTTTTAATTTTAATCCTAATTTTTCACCTTTTAACTCATAGTATTATAATTTAACACCAGTTGTGTACTACTTGGAAACTGAATGTTGAATACCTTTAGAATTCAAACTACTTTTCATGATTGAGGCAATATTTAAACATGAAGTTTTCTTATAGTTGCTCTGTAGTTTTTCTAGTTTAAAAACTTTTTGTTTTAAATGAACTGTTTCCTGGTTTTAGTATAATAGAGCAAGTAGGATATACAGAAATGGCTTTGAATTTGTGAGGTGTACAAGTTTTTATATTGGTAGAAAGTCCTTTTCTTAATTTCCAGTGGAAGCATAGTAAGGTTAAACGCAGTTCATTAAAAAGAGAAAGGGAAAAAGAATATGCTTTTTATGTTTAGAAAGCTTATACCAGCCTCGTTTTAATAAAAAAAGAACCTTGAGATTTCCACTTCTTTTTCCAAACCCCAATCTCAAAATTTACTCCTTTCTCAGAATTTTTCGTATACTTTTCTTTTTATTTATTTGATACCTAATAGGTTACTTGTGAAATTTTCTACCATTTCTGTCTTAGGAACTCTTGCTCTTTTATATCCTCAGGATCTAGTATAGCACTTGATACACAGGTTTTCAGTAGTATAATGATAGTGAAAGCAGGCATCTGACTATGTGCCCGGCACTGGTCTAAGTTTTATACATGATATTACTTAGTTAATGTTTATAACAATTCTGTGAGGTAGTTATTATTTTTTTCCACACTTCCCAGGTAAAGAAACTGAGGCAAAGAATAGTTACCTAACTTGCCCTAGGCCACACTGCTAGTTAGTGGGGAATGGTGGTATCAAACATTGGTAGTCTGGCTCCAGAGTTCATTCTCTTAATCAGTACATGGTACAGCCTTGATGATGATTGTAATCATGAAGGTAAGCTTGCAACATAATGCAAGATTAGGCTATAGAGTAATTAGTCTCTATATAGATTAGTTGAAGCACAATTCTTACAGATGAAGGGAAGGGAAGTTGGAAAGTCGATTGGAGGAGTGGGGGAAGCATATTATGAAAAGTCTTGAATTGCTGGCTAAAGATTAGGGAGGTGGGATTGGAGTACTAGTTTAGAAGGTAGACCTTAGTTCTGGTCCTGACATTAAAATATCATAATGCCTTATATGACTTGGACTTCATCACTTATTTTTGTAATCTAGATTAACTGAGCTATAAAATGGAGCAAATAGTCCCTCATATCTATTTCCAGATTGTTGTAAGGTTTTAGTGAAGTAATGAATGAATATGAAAACTTTGGTAAATTTTAAAATATATAAATCCAACTTACTACAAGGATATGAAAGCACTGTTTTTTGGAAAAAATTGTTTTTCTGTACTTGGGCAAGATGATTGGCTATGTGCAAAATAGAATTGAGGAGTGGTTATAGGAATGATAAAAGTGACTAAGAAAATAGATTTCTTGGGTGTCTATGGGTTGAGGCTGAGGAAAACTGAGCAAACAGGGCTCTGGGCTTCCCTGTTTGAACAGAATAACTTCACATTTATCTATCTTAGAATTCTTGTAATATGAAAAACATGACTGGCTGCTAAAATAAATGGGAAAACCATGTGTCCACAGGACTCTGTATTTAAAGTAGTAAGTATCAGGAACACCATCTTTCTCGAGTTTGTAAAGTTGTATTGGCAGTCTTTTAAGTTCAAAGTGTCTACCTTCATTTTCTCTGTGAATTTTATTTTTTGTCTTACCATCATTGATGTGGTTGATTTGGTACTCAAGGAATTTAATTATTCCTTAGTGTATAGAATGTATGATTAGTTAGTTGAGATTATTAATCTGCAAAGCATATACATACTAGGCTTTATAATAACAGTGTGATAAAATTAATATAGTGACCCTCTGGTTTGAGACATAGAAATTATCTGACAAAAAGGCATTGAGTTTACCCAGGCACTTGAATACAAGGTTAAAATACTCAAGTACAGAAGATAACATTTTTTAAAGACAGATGTTAATCTATCAGTGTATCTTGACTGTAAAGGAACAATATTATAACCCCTGTAAAATATCAGATTTTGAATAGGACTTTCTTTTGTTGGCACATGAGCGCAAATGAAATCACTGCAGCATAGTAAAGGAGCTAAGAGCATGAGTGAGCTTTGAGGACAGACTATCTGGGTTTGAATCTTAGCGTCCTTCCCTTTGCTCTTAGGCAGGTATATGATCATTCTATGCCTCAGGTTCATTATCTGTAAAAATAATATTCTTCCCCCTCAGAGTTGCTGAGAGGATTAAATGTTAGCTTACTTATAAAGCACTTAGAACACTGCCTGATACATAGTAAATACTCAGTAAGTGCTGTGGAGTTGTTGATACTCTTCGCAAAATTAGTCTACTCATTGGGGTTAATTATTCTGTTTAAAGCATTGGAGATTGTCTGACATATGTTTTGTTTTATTGAAGTTAATGATGAATGTTTCTGACCAGAAACAGCTGACAGTCATTTTCTTGCTGTGATAAAACAGACTAGCTATGATAAGCTTAAACTTAAAACTTTATTCCATAAGCAAACTCAGTGGAGGGACATTCCTTACCGTTTTGAAGACAGCTAATATGACTCAAAAAACACTTGCAAACTGATGGGAGAATTTTGAGAAATGAGATATCACTGTTTCTAAATGGAGAGAACTATAGTACGAATGAAACTGTACTCCATAATTTCAAGGAAACTATGTCCAAGAAGTTTTATTAGCACATTAGACCCATGAATCTTAAGAATTATGTATCAGAAGTCTCCTGATGAAAGTTTTTAGGTAATTGATCTGTTGTCTTAAAGTAGTTTCATTTCATCTCAGTTAACAAAAAAATGGAATCAATAAACATGGAAAAGCTTTATAAAGCCAATAGAGATTTATGCTTCTGTTAATGTTCTTATAGGAGTTAAACAGAAGACCACAGTTTCTCCCTAAACTTCTTGGCCATGTAAGCCTTTAAAAAAATGATTTTACTAAGCACTTCACTAGATTTTTACCCCTCATTCCCCACCACTACCATATTTTTTTTAATGGTTTGTATGTTAGTAAGTGCTCATTCACTCGCCTAAACTTTTTTTCTTAATAAAATAAAACTGCTTGTCTGACAAGAAATTTAGAGACCTTATGAATAGTAATTTTCATATCTTACTGTGAAATTTAAGCAAAACCAAAGACAGCTTTGGCATTCAATTCTGATAGTATTGTTAATGAATGCTTGGTGTAAGATAAGCATGTGGGTCCAGATATCTACTAGATCCCTTTATACTAGAAAAATGACTTCTATATTAAGACATACCAAGTATATCCTATAGATTTGTCAGGATCATGAGAAATACTTGCCTGATAGCTTAGAAAATGATTTCCATTGTTAATGTCATCAGTAATACATTAAAAACAATAGCTGCCGTTTATTGAGCACTTAACGTCATTGCTATGTTTTTCATGTGTCTCATATAATTCAGCAAGCCTATGTAGTTGGTATGTAGCCCATTAAGATTAAGAAATTTTACCAAAATCACAGTTATTAAGTGGTAGAGCAATATTTAGATGTAGATTTGTTTGACTCTAAGGTCCTTGCTCTTAATCTGTCTGTATAGGTAATACTGGCTGTGGATGCCTGATCTTGGTAGTACATTTAGAAATACAGGCATACTTTAGTGATACTGAAGGTTTGGTTCCAGACCACCCCAGTAAAGCGAATACCACAATAAAGCAAGTGAGATTAATTTTTTGATTTCCAGTGAATATAAAAGTAATGCTTATACTATAGTCTATTAAATGTGCAATAACATTATGTCTAACAATGTACACAATGTACATACCTTAATTAAAAATAATTTTATGCTAAAAAATGCTAACCATCATCTGAGCTTTCAGTGATTCTAATTACTGATGACAGATTGCCATAAAAAATGTAATAATAATGAAAAAGTTTGAAATATTGTGAGAATAACCCAAACATTGACACAGAGACATGAACTGAGCAAATGCTACTGGGAAAATAGTGCATGTAGACTTGCTCGATGCAGGTTGCCACAAACCTTCAATTTGGGAAAAAACAGTTTCTGGGAAGCATAATAAAGCAAAGTATGCCTGGATAGGAAGGGACTTTTTGTAACACACTTCACACTTGTAATCATTTGTTCCATGTTTTTACTTCACTAGACTAAATTCTTACATTACATTTCAGTCTCCTTCCTCTTCTGTTTTAGCCCCTCTTCTCCCTTTCCACACCCACTGTGACATAGTCTGTTACTCTGTACTTAATTGTCTTTTGTACTTACCTATTTCCTTCCCTGAATAGGTAGATAATAAACTTCATATGGAGATGGATTGTATCATACTCATTTTTTATATCTCTGGTAGCTACCTAGCTCAAGTTCTAGTATATATAATAAGTGCTTAATAAGATGTAATTCCACTGTTAAGATATATCTATTATTAATGTATTATTTTCTTCTATCTCTTCCTCATATAAATAATGGGGTTATGTTGTACAGTTTTGTCCATGATTTTTTGTTTGTATTTTTCCAGATAATTTTATAGTCTTCCGAAACAGAAGTTTTAAAAATGAGATCTCATAATTCTTCCCCTTTAAACAAAAATAATAGAATTCACATGGAAAAATGAAGATAGCGAAGAAAATAAGAGTAATACAGACAGATAGATTTGTCATTCTAAATAAAGAAAACGTATTACAGAATTATACTGTGTATAGCATATCCCAGAAATAGATCAATGAGATAGAAAATAAATTCCAGAAACAGACTGAATTATATATTAAAGAATTTAGTACTTCATAAAAGTAGCATTTGGAATTAATGGGAAAATGTTGGATTTTTCAAGAAGGCAGTGCTAGAATGATTTGTTAACCATTTAGAAATAAAGCCTAACCTCGGTCGTCTTAAACCAGTATAAATGAAACCTGGCTATCAGTCATTACAGATACATATGAAAGTGTTTATGATATCCAGGGAAAGGAGGGAAGAATTAACTTTGAGAGCTACTTAACCAAGCAGGGTACAGCCAAAGATTGTTTTTCCCTTCTAGAATAAACCAGTGATAGCTTCCCGAATGTAAAGTGCAGTGTCTCCTAGAGTGAAAGAAAAAGATTTGGAATTCTAGAATAAAAATTTATTCTTGAGAATACGATGATAGAAGCCCTGAAAATGACTCACTAATCTTGAGGTGACAAAAGTAGCACTGAAAAATCTGAGAAATATAAGAAGATAAAGGTTAAGTATTAAAAGAAGAAGTTAAATATTCTATCATGAATTGGTGAATTTGAAGAACCTCATCTTGAAAAGCTCACAAGGAAAGGTTGGGTGTATAATGTAAAAGGACAGGTGGGGAGCATAATTTTTGCACTGCTGTTAAAGATTTACTAATTCTGGGTCCTGAAAAAACAAATCAGTTACAAAAATGCTGTAATAATCAGGGCAAAAAAAAAATGACCAAACAGTGAAAAGAGCCAATTCAGGAAGACTATACCATAGGAAGTTATGAGAGTGGAATTAAATGGGTGATTCATAAGTTTTCTGGAGTTTCTTAGAGATCCCATTTAATTAGCCATATGATGTGCCCAGCAGAAGTTGGGTAAGGATTTTACCATCATTTTATTGGGGGTTTTTTCTAGTTCTTAAAAAGTGCTTAGGAGAAAGGGAAGAACAATAGATTAAAACAGCAGCATAGTTCAACATAAAGAATTTTAATTTTAACATTTTAGTTTTGGGCAGAAATGATAGATACCTAATTCACACTGTTAAATTTTAGATGGTTTGTCTTCTGCTGATCCCAGCTCTGATTGGAATGCACCAGCAGAAGAGTGGGGGAATTGGGTAGATGAAGAAAGAGCTTCACTTCTAAAGTCCCAGGAACCAATATCTGACGATCAAAAAGTGAGTAAAGGGATTGGTGGGTATGTTTTTTTCTCTGTGTACCCAACTATATATCTAATAGTAGAATTGCTTCAGAAAGGTCTTCTGATCATATTTGCTTCAATCATCATATGTCTGCAAGCTTTCTCTATATCATGTTTTTTTTCTTTACACAAATTACTAGAGGATTCGCTATGTGGAAAGTACTGATAGGAAAACAAACAGCACAGTTCCTATTCTCTTACCAGGATTAGAATAACCTACCAACTCTTAGTGTTCTTAGAGAAGACTAGATTGGTTCCCAATGAAAGAATAAGGAAGGCAACAGACAAGACTGAGAACATTGTGAAAAAGTCACCAAGGCAGGAAAATAGGTAATATGTTTGGTGAAGAGGTAAATAGTACACATGTATGGAATATCTTCCCCTTCTAAGCTGTGAAAGGGATTATGAAGTTTTTATTTTTGTAATTCTAGCAACATGCTTGACATTCAGTGAGTGAACAAAGGAATGATGATCTACCTTGACACATTTTTATGGTATTTTATAATAGCTTTTAATGAAAACTTTAATGCATAATCTGTACATCACTTAGGAAAATTAAGCTGGATATAGTGGAAAGACAGTACAGTTTGGGAGGCTATTTATACGATATTGGGTAAGTGTTAAAAAGGTCATTAAATGAATCAGGGTAGGAGATAATGAACTAAGTTAATAGCTTTGAAAAATAAATGGTATTTACAATAGTCAAAGCTCCTGATTAAACTTTGCTACTGGTTGGTTATAGTAATAATGGTGTAAAGTCAAAAGGACTCTGATGATAAGAGGGCCATTAATACTCAAAAAATTATAATTGAACATCTACCATGGGTCAGGTATTGTGCTAATGGAGAAACAAGATAAATAAGACACAGCTACTGCCTTCAAGGAGCGTACAGTCTAGTTAGGGAGGAAAGGAAGGGGACAAGCATATCAACTCAAAAAGTAATGTTTCAATGTGATGTTACAGAAGCACCTGGGAGTTCAAGCAAAGACATCCTAGAAGTAAAAGCAGAAAATGAAGCAAAGAGTAGTCAGAAATGAGACTGAAGAGGGATGCAGGGGCCAGTTGCTAGAAGTTCTGGAATGTTGTGTTTAAAACATAGGATTTTTTCCTGTAAATCAAGAATTTTCAGCTAATACGGTTTTTCTGGCTACTCTGGCAGCCCATGTAGAAAAAAGAGTGGAGACATACATAAATGAAGGAGGAAAGGCCAATTTAGAGGTTGTTTAGTAGTCCAGGACAATAAGAAAAATATATAGAGGACAGATTTAAAAAACAAATTAATGTACAGTCAACCAAACATGATTAGAATTGAATGGAGAAAGAGTCATTAAAAGTAACTTCCACAATTGTAGCTTGGGTAACTGGGAGGGTAGAAGATGTGCCTCCAACAGAGATAATATAGGAGCAAAAGATAGTTAATTGGGGGAAGGAAATTGGGGGAAAGATGATTGGTTCAGTTTGGGATATGTTAAATGCATGGTGTTTTTGTTAGGTACGCCTTAGAGAAGTTGGTTCGGTGTTTGGAAGTTACTAGAATATGGTTGTTAAAACTTTGAGGGTGAGTGAAATATCTAGGAAAATTTTACGGAGTTGAAAGAGTAGTAGAATAAGCATAGAAATCTGGGAAACTCCCAACTTTTAAGCAGAAGCCTCTGAAAGAACTGAGGGAGAGTTCTGGGTCACAGAGGCTTTGACATTTGCTCTCTGGTAATTTGGAGCAGTTTCATTAGAAATCTTGGAATAGTAGCCATATTGTAGTAGGTTGAGTAAATGAGAAGTAAACAGTAATGATAACAAACATAACTTTTTTTTTTAAGTAAGTTTGGATAAGAAAGGAGGAGAGGTAGTAGATGACAGCAGACTGTAGTATCCAGAAGGGTTTTGTTGGGCATTGTTTGTATTTTAATGATAGAAATGTTAGTGCAAGGGTTGGCAGACTTTTTATTGAAGGGTCATACTATACAATAGGGCAAAAGCAGCCATAGACAACATGGAAATAAACTTTCTTTACAAAAACTGACATTGGACCCAATTTGTAGTTTGTCAGCCCCTCCTTTAACGTATCTATAGACAAAAAAGGAACGAATGTAGAATAACATAAAAGTTAAACATAAATGAGAGATTTGACTAATGGAGTAAGATCCTGGCAGTAGGGGTGGGGGGAACCTTAGGCATGAGTGGATTGTGAGTTGGCTTTTATATAGGATGTAGTACCTCTTTTCTTTAGAGACCAGACAATGGACAATGAGAAAGGTACTAATGGGATTTATTGCTAAAGGTGTTAAGTCAATGCAGATGGAGAGACACTTAACAGGTAATTTAGGGGTGGGGGCAGGGGAGTGAGTTTTAGATTGAGACTACAAAAGCTTCCTAGAGTTGCCAGGAGTTGAGGGGAGGGAGGGAAGGATGAATGGGCAGAGCAGAAAGGGTTTTTAGCATAGTGCAACTACTTTGTATGATACTGTAATGGCAAATTTGTCATTATTCATTTTTCCAGACCCATAACACCACCAAGGGGAACTCCAAGGTAAACTATGGACTCTGGGTGAAAATGATGTGTCAACATAGGTTCATCCTTTGTAACAAATGTGCCACTCTGGTGGGGGATGTTGATAATGGTGGAGGCTGCACATGTGGGAGGTAGGAGATACATGGAAATCTCTGTGCCTTTTGCTCAATTTTCTGTGGACCTAAAACTGCTGTAAAAAATAAGTTTAATTAAAAAAAAAGAAAGCTTCCCAGTATAGTACCTTCACACACAGTAATCATTCTGATATTTGTACAACCAGTCTGTTTCTCTCACTGAAACTTCCCTTTGCCTGATCATCAGAGTTAAACAGTAGAACCATTGAATGGAATAAAGATTATGACATCATAGCAGTTCTTTTTCTGAGTGTATTGCAAGATCATATTTTTTATTTCTAAGCAAGAACAGCATGCCATCTAAATGCCTATCATTTGGAAAGTGGAGAAATAAAATGTCCTATGTTTGTGCAATGGCACATTAATATTAGAAAATCAATGAAATAAAGCTACATTAATACTATATGAATAGAATCTCAAAAGCATGCTGAATGAATAAGTTACAGAAAGATGAAAGATACCATGTATATACATTTCATGCATATGGATGCACATAAATTTATAGAAAAACTGATTGGATGGACACAAAAGTTCATAATAATGGTTTACCTCTAAGAAAGTACTATGGGAATGGGATTTGGAGAGGTATGTAAAGGAATTTGATCAGCAATATCTTATACTTTAAAAAATCTAAAATTTGTCAAAATCAATTATTTTATATGAGTTAAAAGATTTGTAAAGGAATTTGATCAGCAGTGTCTTTTACTTTAAAAACCTGAAATACATTTGTCACAATCACTTATGTGAATTAAAAGATGATAATAGAGTTGATTTCAGCCTTTTTCTTATGAATAAAAATAAGTGTGTTGCCATGAAGACCTGCAGTTCTCTTATGTTTGGATAATAATTGACTGAGAAGCAGACCGACTATATAGAGTCCTGTGACCTGAATATCTTTCATAGGATGCGTCTTTTCATACAGTATTTTAATCATTACAAACCTATAGTGAAAACTAATATATAATGTGTCTCCACAGCTGGCAGCCAACTTGGACTGAAAATCTCTCTTAGCTAAATTTGTGAAGGATTTTGTTTTATTTTTCCATCAGCTAATAATTTCTGTAAACTTTATTCTTTTCAATGGTTCATGAGACCTCCAAATCATCCTAATAATTATGGTACTAAGTAGAGAAATAGCAGTTATCCATATCATTTCTTCCTATAGTGATTATCTCGGAATCTTGGCTGCATCTGTGCAGAATAAACAAAAAAGCACTTTTCCATAGAATTTTCAACTATATATGTGTGAAGAGGTACCACCATGAAAACTAATTTAACAATCCTAATTTGCAATTTTTGTCATTCAGAACGTCATTTTCAATGACATCCCTTCTCAGGTTCTTTTTTTATTATTATTATTTTAGCCTTTTATTTTGAGATCATTATAATCTCACATGAACTTTAAGAAATAATAGATACCCTGTGTCCTTTACCCAGTGCTCCCCTCATCCCCAGTGGTAACACTTGAAAAACTGTAGTACAGTATCAACCATTATATTGATATTGATGCAGTCAAGACACAGAACATTTCCATCACTGCAAGATCTCTGTCATGTTGACCTTTTTATAGTCACATTTTCTTCCCTCCTAACCCTACACCTTTCATAACCCCTGGAAGCCATTAATCTGTTCCCATCTCTATAATTTTGTCATTTCAAGAATGTTGTATGAATAGAATCATACAGTAAATAACCTTTTGGTCCTAGTTTTTTTTTCACTTAGCATAATTCTCTAGAGAGTCATCCAGATCGTGGAGTGCATCATTAGTTGGTTCTTTTTACTTCTGGTCTTGATATGCTTCAGTTTATTTAACCATTCACCTGTCAAAGGACATCTGGTATGTTTCCAGTTTGAGGCTGTTATGACTAAAGCAGCTATATGCATTCATTTACAGGTTTTTGTGTGGGCATAAGTGTTCATTTCTCTAGGATAAATGCCCAGGAGTACAATCCCTGGGTTGTTTGGTAGTTGCATATTTAATATTTTAAGAAACAGCCAAACTGTTTTCCAGAGTGGCTGTATCACTTAACATTTCCACTGACAGTCTGTGAGCGACCTAATTTCTCTGCATCCTTGCCAGACTTGCTGTTGTCACTGTCCTTTGTTTTACCTATTCTGTTAGGTGTGTAGTGATAACTCGTGGTTTTAAATTGCATTTCCGTAATGGCTGATGACATTGAACATCTATACATGTGTGTCTGTGCTATCTGTCCATACTCTCTTGAGAAATGTCTGTTCCTATCTTCTGCACATTTTCTAATTAGATTGTTTATTGTTGAATTTTGAGTGTTTTTTGTGTAGTCTAGATCCAAGTCCTTTGTTGGATATATGGTTTGCAAGTATTTTCTCCCACCCTATAGGTATATAGGTCATTCTCTTAACAAGGTCAAATTCAATTTTAATGCAAATAGTTCTCATTCAAACTGAAATAAAGCAGAATTACTTATTCAACGATTGCACAACTCTCAAATTAATCTTGTAATAAGTGATGAAAGAAGAAAAAGTGCCATCCTACAACAGGTGCTCACTTACGGCACTTTGTATTTCCCCGCAACCATGAAAACCAAGGGAGAATTATTATTCCCATTAAACAGATGATGAGTGTAGGCACAGAAGGTGTTTGTGAGTTCCCCGTGGGCCAGTTAGTAAAGGGCAGATCTCAGCTGGGAAATCAGGACCAGTCTCAAGTGTTCGTGAATGGATTTTTGAACAACCTTTAAACATTAACATTATTATTAAAATATATTGTCTGAAGGTGAGAATCATGGTTACCTCTGGGGTGAGGGGGTGAGTGAAGATTGACTGGACACAGGCATGAATGAACTCTTTGGGAAAAAGGAAACATTTTGATCTGGGTGGTGATTGTTCTGTAACTATACATATATAAAAAGTCATTGATCTGTATGTACAGTTAAGATTTATCATAGGTGAAGTGCATCTCAAAGTGCTAAAAATTTTTTAAAAGAAAAGTGTCAGATAGAATGAAGTTTCATCTACTTTATTTTTTAAATATGTAATCTAGATCGATTTCATTACTTGTTACTAATTATTATTTAGAATTTGGAAGGTAAAAACTGTACCTAATGAATGAAATTGTTCCATAGTAATTTTCTGAATAATGAAAGTTTAACCAATGAGTTCACTTTAATACTCTTGCTTTTAACATTAGGTTTCAGATGATGACAAAGAAAAGGGAGAAGGAGCTCTTCCAACAGGAAAATCTAAAAAGAAAAAAAAGAAAAAGAAGAAGCAAGGTGAAGATAACTCTCCTGCTCAGGTACAATAAAAAACATCACTCGTTAAGCTCCTACTGCTGATATGTGAAAAGATAATATGCAGATGCTAAGATATGTACAGATATGACAGAACGTGAGACAGCAGATTTACTTGAAAAGCATTTGAAAGGTCACAAATTGTTTTAAAGATTTTACATGTCATATTGTAATAAAGACTTTATTGCTTTAAAAAAAATCACATCAGAGGTGTGAATCCAAAGTAAATAAATAAAATTTTAAATTAGCCAGATGCATTTTGGTGTATATTGTGGTGAAATGGAAAAAAGGTAGTGTTTCACACATACAAAAAATTGCCTTCGAATAAGTGGAATTTAGCAAATGAGAATTTTAGCATAATTAGAAAAACTGTATACATAACAAATGGAGTCTTTCCCTTGACTCTGAGTTTGCTGGTTATTCCACTTGGTATCCTTTCCTGCCTTTTTTTGTCCCTAACAAAAACTTTCTATTTATATCACTCCTATGTTTTCCTTTTCCTTGGTCTTTCCCATCTGGAGAAAAATTTTTTAATTGTAATACAGATGAAAACAAATATTTTAATTTCAGACATACTAGATTGCTAGAAACATGCATGGATTTACTTTTGAAAACACTATCAATATTATAGTATATGAAAATCTTATTCCTTACTGCAACCATCTGACTGTTTTCATTCCTTTAAAATGTAGGAGATAGCCAAAATTTCTAGATGGTAGCCTCCATAATAATTTTCCTATTTATTGTTATATTTAGAAAAGGTTTCTGCATGACTTTTGAAGGAAGTAAGTGTTCTTTTGTTGTTGGAAGCACCACCATTTGTAAATGATACCAGTCCATTACCAGTGTTTTTTCTCAGTAGTGATAATGGTGTGCATTAAAGTTAAAAGTGCCTGAATATCAATGTATGTAAAAAACTGACACTGTGTAACATGTACTGTGCTTACTAGCTGAGCTAGCTGGTAGAAATGTTTCTGATAACTATCCTTTGTTAGTAATAGTATTTGAAATTCATTTAGGCAAACTTTTCTGGTTTTCTGTGACTTTACTAAAGTTACTTTACTAAAGTCATTAGCTTTACTAAAACTACTTTTCTGGCTTATGGGTTAGGTGTGTTCCTTTTTAAAGGAAATTTTATAGCATAGATGTATTCTATAAATTTCAGCTTACTGGCAGAGTTCATTAAAATTGTGAAAGTTCCTTTGGTATCTTGATATTTCTTTCAAAAATGTTGATCTGTTTTTTTTTTTAACTATAGTGAAAAAGTATATAGGCTTTAGAGTCATATCTGTTTTCAAATTTCAGTTCTGCCATTTCCTAGCTGTTTTTTTTGTTCAATTTTTTACAAGTTGCTTAACTTCATAGGTTGCTTGGAGATTTAAATGAGATACCCTATCTATAAATGACTATAGTTTGGAATTTGTTCTTTTTCCATTAAGATAGGATAGAACTAACTAATATGTTCTCATTAACTTTGTACAGATTGCAAATCTTACATGCATACTTCCAAAGCTACTTGCTCAACTTAAATTCACAACAAAATTATGAATTACTGTCTAAACCCACTACCATCCTGAGCAAGTTTTATAGAAAACCAGTGTTGGAAGGAAACTTTCAAGTTCATCTGAGACAGTTGTCAGAAAAAAAACCGTTTGTATATATGTGTGTGCTAAAGTAAAATACAATTCACAGTGATGGTCCTATTAATATATTCTAGTTTATACTTCCATCACATACCTAAGCATGTAATGTGCTTTAGCTTTTGTTGAAACTTTTTAAAAATCTTAAGTCCTAAGAATGGGAATATTAAAACTTGGGTAGGACCTTAGAAATTATATAGGCAAATTATATTTTATAGCTGAGAAAACTGAGGTTCAGGGAAACGAAATTAACACAGTAGGACTGTGGCGTGGCCAAAATTGCAGTTCCTGTCTATGTCCTTTCTACTGTATAAGCTTAATTTATCTAGAAAAGCCACTTCTATTTAAATATTTCATTCCTTGAAGAAGTCATGAAGTGAACCGCTGTTTCTTATGTCTTAGTTCAAGTGTCACCTAACTCATTGTGTACTTTTATTAAAAGAAAAATATATTAATTTAGTTTATTTTGTTTGAGTTGATTTAATAAATCAGAATGGTTCCCATTTGGAAATGTGCATGTATTGTTTCTTAATTCACAAGTGATTTAAATCCCTGGAGAAAGTAGAGGTGATGAATAGCTGTTCCAAATGTACCCTTCTTTGTATTTTAAGTTTTTGATTAATCATTTGTATATGCTCTTTAAGCTCTTCGGACAGTTTCTGGAATAAAATTATTTTCTTGGAGTATGTTTCAGACATTAGTTACACAAACCAAATAGATTTTAATTAGTAAAAATGAATGATTTTATATCATTTAATAGACTACTTTTCTTGATAGGACACAGAAGAATTAGAAAAAGAAATTAGAGAAGAGCTTCCAGTGAATACATCCAAAGTCCGTCCAAAACAGGAAAAAACTTTTTCTTCAAAGACCATAAGCACTAGTGATCCACCTGAAGCACTCGTCAAAAATAGCCAGGTAATTTTATGGTATTTAAGGAATAAAATTTTGATGACTTAAGGATTTTATCCTAAGTAACATTTTATTGAAGCACCATGCTAAAGTTTTTAAGTACCCTAACTTAGCCTTCAACAAGCCCACAAGAGAGCTAGGACCCATAATGTAAACGAGGTTAGAGAAGTTGAATAACTTGTCCAAAATCACATAACTACCAGAGCCACAGAAGTATTTTTTCCTGTTAAGTATCTAGGCATACAAGAAATAGAGAAAATGTGACTGGTTGCATTTTCCCAAAAGCATGTATGTACTATGACTATGGCCCAAAACTCTTAAAATGTTAACAGTTGTTTAAAATTTGGTGACAAGTTCTTGAAATATATGCCATTTGTGGAAAATTCTGGTGTGTCAGAAGGGTTTTTCAAAAGATCTGGGCCAGTGACACAAAGACCAGATAGCTCTTTAAAGTCTTGATTTCTAATTAGGTGCAATGTGAAATTTGAGTAGAGTTGAATGGTTCATTTATATATTCATTCAAGAAATTTATTGACATCAGCTACATGCCTCACACTGTTTGAGCTTCTGGAAATACATCAGAGAACAAAGCAGAAAAAAACTCTTGTCCTTTGTGGAGCTTATATATTTAATGAAACAGCTGTAAACAAGAGCCTGAGTTGCTGTTAAGAGAATTTGTAAGAGTCTTGCACTAAAATAAAATTTTAACCATACTTCTATTTGGATTTAATGCTTTTAATTCCCTAAGGGTATTTTGAGGTAAAAGGGTACGATCTCAATACATGGATAGGATTAATAGGACTGTAAAGGAAAGAAAGGGTCATCTGACATTTTGGTGCTTAGTAAGTCGTTTCTAGAAACCATCTTGTAAAGAATGTTTTGAGTCTTTCTGTGATTTAATGAATAAGTGAGAATAGAAGGGAAAAGGTGATTAAAAGTAAGTACTAACACTTTTGGATATGAAATAAATAGAGGGAGCTGCCATGGCTTCCAGTGGGGTCGGTGTGAACGCTGCGGGCTCAGCAAATGAAGCTCCTGAAATTCCAGACAACGTAGGAAATTGGCTTCAAGGTGTTTAGCACTTCGCCACTGATAGGAATAATTTCCCGAGGAACTTGATCCTCAGTTTGGGACTGTTTGCTGCTAGAGTTTGGCTGGCCAGGAATTTGAGTGACATTGATCTAATGGCACCTCAGCCAGGGGTGTACCAAAAAGATACATGGAACCTACCCTGTACTCAAACCTTCCAAAAACAGCCTCCAATCTATGACCATCACAAGACTTACCCTGATGACAGCTGAAGTCTGATTCAGAGGACACCTTCCCTTCCCTGCCTGATTTCCTTTTCTTCCCCAAGTCCACTCAGAACTCCCTTCTCTTGTCAGCGGTCAGGCTGAAGCTAAAGGGTTGTCTTCTGTTCTCTGAAGTTCTGTACATAGTTCCTATGTTTCTGTAGGGCGTCATCTTTGCTCTTGTCCTCAGGAGTAACCCAGTGATATTTTCAGATACTTGAAATAAAAACAGCACACACAGACAAAAGAAAGAGAGGAAACATTAAGAAAGCTGAACCAAGCAAGGTTAATGCCACTTGGCATACCTGAAAGAGGAAGGATTCCTAGTAGTAACCTAGGGTTACATAGCTAGCCTGCTTCCCCATCTTGCTTCCTTTCCCATTGTGCTCTATTGAACCCACAGAGCCTTGAAAAAGAGGGACAAGAGGAGCAATTACTTATCCTTGTTTCTGAATTCAAAATAACGATCACAGGTAAAGCTAAATTTAGGATGAAATGATCTCCTTCCTATCCATTTGTTCTTGCTTCAAGGCACTCCAAATACTGGAGTCTCTATCATTACCTGGCCTGACCATTCATGAACAGTTAGGCCTCATTGAGAAAATCACTTTGCCTCCTTTCTGCTCACAATTTGAAGACGAGAAGCAAGGCTCAAGATCTTCGCCGTAAGCATTATGGTTTTACTACCAAACTATGAAACTGAAGATTTGGACCTGAGTTTTACTAGTTGCTTTAATTAATAGGACCAATAGCCTTATTCTGCTTTTGTCTGAGGCCATCTTTTTCTTTGGATAAGAAACTGAAGGAATTGCTACTGCTCTTTGAGATAGCCCTTCACAAGAGAAGGAGAAAGCAGGGCTGTCCTCTACTGGTAGTTCAGAAATTAGCTGGGGGTTTTTTTTGTCTTTCATATGAAAAAGTTTTGAGTTGAAAAGTTGGGAAGTGAACAGAGCCATTGAATCACTAACACAAAATTATGCTATTTGTAATGTGAAACTTAATGAAAATGGAATTACACACTCCCATTTGAGTTTCAGTAAATGTCTGAAATAATTTTATAGTCTCACTCATTTGTATCTCAACCTCTATTTGTGTATATTGTAAGTAATGATGTACTTGGTTATGTCACTAGAGGGCAGACAAGATTTGTGCTTCTGTTGGTAAATTATTTGGAAACCGTCTTAGTATATACTTGCTGCTGAAGAACAGCCTCTTGGTATTACTATGATATTTAATCTTATTTGAGATTTTTAACAAAAATCTAAGATAATTTTATTCCAAAATAGCCTATCAAGACTCTTCCACCTGCTGTTTCTACCGAGCCATCTGTTATTTTATCAAGAAATGATTCTGAAAAGAGCTCTTCCCAAGTGCCACCGAAGCTACAAGAGATAGATAAACCCAAGTCGAATACTAAACAAAATAGTGTGCCTCCTTCACAGAGTAAGTAATCCTACTTTTGGTTCTTTTGTGTTTCAATGTACTATTTATAAGTGTCAACATCATAGAAGCCTAAATACATTAGACTTTTATCAGTGGATTAATTCCTTCCTTCCTTAGCAAAGGCTGAATTCCTTAGAACTTGTGCACCTCAGTTGTGAGGGCCAAGGAGGTGATCAGAGGAAGACTTGATACCTGCCCTCGTCCACCTGGTCCTTCCCTCCTTCTGTGCACCTGTTGTTGAGACTGCAAATTGTTTTGTGACTTTCTCTGCTTCTCCCTTTGTCTGTCATTACTGTACATTTACCCATTTCCACTTTCATTACTTAGATTAAGCCATATTAAATTTTTTTTCTAGATAGAAACTGGTTATATCCATATGGTTAAAGCAGTGTACTTGGGATTGAAAGGAAAAGAAGAGAGCCATAGAATGACCTAAAAATATGTTAACTAGAACTTAAAAACTTAAGCATAAAATTCAAAGCATTATTAGTGGACTTCATACCATGTTTTCATTGATACCTTTTTTATGTTTTTGACACTGAACAGTATTTACTATCCTCCTAACTTACCTTTTTTTTTTTTCCTTTTAGCCAAGTCTGAAACTAGCTGGGAGTCTCCCAAACAAATAAAAAAGAAGAAAAAAGCTAGACGGGAAACGTGAATATTTTTTTTCCTGAATTGGACATGTGTTTGCAAGCACTGTCTTGAAGATTATGCTGTTTATGCAATAATTTGTGACATATACAGAGTTTTATATAAATTTAAACCAATTTTTAAAACAAAACTGTGAACACAACCACCATAAAAATGGAATCAAAGGAAAGTTAATTTATGAAATTAAGAGGTCAACAGAATATACTACAGTGCTGGAAGACACTTGGGGAAAGTCTTTTTCAATTTAACGAGAATGATCTTAATTTAAGAATATTATCCTGATTTTACAACAGTGCCCTGTTTACAACAGATTGTGCCCTATCTCATCTGCAGCTAAGGAATAAAGGATTCTAATTAGAAAGAAGGTTGCTTACAAGTTAGTAGGCAGCTTCTTGGATCTTATGCATGGAACTTAAACTATTTGAACCTGTTTTATGCTTAAAGTGCTTTGATCAAATGCATAATCTGCCATATCTTTACACATATGTTGGTAGCCGTTTGTATTAAAGGAATTAAAGGAATCACAAGTGCAAATAAAAGTCATTTATCATTTGCTTAACTAAACTGTCATGGTTTAGTTTACAATTTTTAAAAAGTTCTTAATTAAAATGGGAAATACAGTTGACGCTTCTATGGCTTATGAAATTATTTTTGATAGCCTTATATTACTTGAATTGTTCAAAGTACAGTATATTTTAAATTAAGAAAGGTAAACTATATGTATTTGTTTTATACTTTTAAGATTCAGACTCACATAATGCTCGTTTGTGATTTGAAAACTTTCAGGCAAAATGCAACTTACATTTTTCCTTTCCCTAGCAATTACTTTTCCAGCGTCAGCTCTTCATTACTAATATTTTTTTGACTTAAAAAATGAAATAGTTCACAAACTAGTTATACAGACAGAACTGAGTATATGATGGAGAATGAAAAACTAGAGTCAGACAGCTTTAATTGACATTGTCAAGACCTCCAGTTTATCAGGAATACATTTTTTTACTGCCTTAACCTGTAGTGTGTAGAATATGCATCAATTTCTTGAGGGGATTCGTGTTTTTATAAGAATTTTCATGTAATTATTGCAATTTTGGTCAAATAAGGAATGTTTCCTGCTTGAAACTATTGATTTAAATGATGTGTGAGAAGTTTCACCATTTCAGGCACTGTGTAATTCTATTGTAATAAACTGGCAGGTATCTTTGTAACTATAAATAGTGCATGCTCAGCCATGTACACTGTAAATAGTCTTTACCAAACGTATTTGACAAGGACCATAATTAACATCACTTAGTGAATTGTGATAAAGAAAAAAAGCCATGATTTATTTGATGTGATTGGCTTGTTTTATGTGGTGCCAAGAATGAAACTGTTTAACAGCTGTAACCAATGGTACTGATCTATCCATCCAATCTTGTCTTTACTATATTTGATTGTGGTTTGATAGTATTGGATTGTCACAGTAGGAAAGCTAAAGAAACAAAATGGTTTTAGTTTTGCTGAAGACTGGCCTTATTAATGGACAGCTTTCCTAACAAGCTATTATTAACTTTTATCAGGTGTTAACATCTGTTTCAGGAACATGGCAGGATGTTTACATGTCAGAAGTTTTGTTTAATTCTATGATATTTCTAAGTTGATTTGTTTAAATAAATTCAGCAAATGGATAGCATTGTTTTTATTTACTTCAATATTGGGATAAATAAGCTAAAGTGCCAGGAGTGGATTTTTTTTCAAATGACTTTATTCTGTTAGCTTTACATAGATGTTTCCTAAATAGATCCAAGGATTCCTAAGTTGCCAGCACTTTGTAAAAGTACCACAAAGGAAAATTTGATAGGGAGTCTGTGTAATTTTAGAATGTGCCAAAAGATCTGTACTCAAAAATTTAATTGAACTCTCTCAACTCTACCTCACCATTTCTTTATCTTAGAATCTTGTTGGCTATGTCAGTGTTGGACTTTATTTTTCCAGTTTAGTGTTTTCCGTACAAACACCTATGCCAGGTGGTAGAGATACCATCTTTTGAAGAAAGATGCAGTGTGGAGATAGAGAAATATATTGCTAAATTAGGTGGATCCAATATGGAGATACCTTTGTCCCTTCTCTCTAGCTCAAGTTCTAGGATGTGGATTTTATGTTTAATTAAGTGATGGAAGCTATGAGTGATAAAATAGTAAATTCATTCCCTAAAGCAAGCATGAGGTGCAAACTCTTGCACAATTCAAGTGTCATTGTTCATTGCTCTTGTTACAGAAGATCTTTATATGTAACATTAAAGCAGTTTCTGGAATCTGAACTGTTATCATCAACTCAGCACTAAAATCAAGGCAGTGATTCAGGGAGGAAGGGAGAGAGAAGAGCCTGTTGTCCTTTGGAAGTTTGGATTAGATGCTCTCCAAACTGTTAGGAGGGATAAAACTGGTACCTTCAGCCTTCTCAGGCCAGGATAGGAACCTTTTCCTGATTCGCAAACAAGGCCTCCTAGAGAAATTACTTTAAAATCTCCCTAATCCTGAACTGTCTCTACATAATGAAAATCCTTCCCTGTTTGGGAGAAAGGAGTAGGGAGTAGGGGTTTAGGTTTTCCACAGACTGGAATCCTACCTATCTTTGCCCTGAATTGAGAAAACAATAGTTGAGAGAGTCCAAAAAAAAAATTGTTGAAATAAAATGTCAGTGTAATTTACCATGTTTACTTTGTGCATGCATTTTATTGGGGGGAGTGATCAGTGGCAATAACTCACCCAAATCTATGATATTATTTCATAGACTAATCTGGTTTGTATTTGGGTTAAAGATACTGAATATCGAAGGGTGGGCAGTATTTTAACTACAGAGTTTCATTTTCCTTAAAAACTGCTCTCTATTAATGTGTGAAATATCTTTCAAAATTTAGCAGTTAGGCTTAAGATATCTAATAGATGTCTTAAGACATTCCTATAAACCTGCTGCACAAACTGGAATTTCCAAAAGACCTAGGGAATGCAAATATGTTATTTGTAAAATGCATTGAGTGTTGTAAATAAAACCTTTTTTGTTTTGTTTAAATTGCTCATTATAGTTCTCTTATGAGAAGGCATTTCTCAGTTATTTTGCATCCTAACCTAGTCTAAAAGCAATTACCTTATGTTCTTGTTTCTTTCTGAAACCATTGGTGGACTTGCAGGCTTCACCAGGGGGAGTCAAATATTTAGACTTAGAGCGCCTTGGAAAATATCCCTGCTTGTGACACACAGTGTTCTCTATGGGAAACAGCTTCCATCTCATTGTTTTAGCAGTAGATGTAACTTCCACCAGGTATAGGGTAGCACTTGCATTAACCTTTAAGTTAAGGAAATGAGGCTCAAATTTGGTGTTATGTATTAGTTTGGCTGTGTCCCCAAACAGTAGTGACTTAAGCAAGATAGAAGTTTGTTTCTTTTGCATGTAAAGGTCTGTGAAGACATTGCAGAGCTACTGTGGCACTGCAGGGCTAGGAACCCAGGTTCCTACTCATATTACTCTTCCTGTCCCCAACATGTTGCTTTCATATTATGGTTACAGACAGTTGCACCAGCTAGAAACCTGTCCACATTTCTGCTCTCTTCTTTTAAGAACACTTAGAAGTTTACACACCACTTGAAGTAGGCTTCTCAATCCAAACTTAAATCACTTGATCCTACTGGCTACAAAGGGGGATGGTAAGTAATAGTCTTTATTCTGGCCTGTCATGGACCAAATTAACATTTCAGGATTATAACCAAGGACACAGTGGAGAATTGGGTGTGGGCACAGCTAGCAGTCTGTCACAGGGTTGACATACAGTGTATACAACCTGCACACAAACTTCATTTTTAAGGTCAGGTTTTAGCTTTTCCAACTAAGAAATTTTTAGATCTCCTAAATGCTACTCAGAGAAGCAGCTAATGATGTTAAGCTTACATATAATAGATTTCTGGAAGAAATTTCTGCCACTCAATACTTAAAATTCTGGAGACCGGCTGAAAGAAGCTAGCCTACTATAACACCTGTGCCACAAATATAGGTTATAACAAGTTTCAGTTGAAATTTCAATAAGAGAATTATGCTGATGTATAATCTTTATTCTAAAAATTAAAAAAAGCATTACTACTATTCCTTCTAAATAACAGGAGAATGATTTCTAACCCTAGCATCAAAATAGATACAGGAGGTGCATTGTACGATGTTTGCTAACTAGTAATATTTACAGTGCTGGGATTTATAAGTAATTTGAAGAAAAATTTAAGCAGATTCAAAGTCATCCCCATGATATTGGCATTCTTGTTTGTATATGTGCTTTCCTTTATTTATTGTATCAAAGCATAAAATGGATATATGTAACATGTACATAAATTATAAAGCATAATAAAATGAACACTCTAAAACCACCGTTCTGCTTAAGAAATAGAACATTACCAGTAGAGGGTGGCGGGGGTGAGCTGGACTTCTGTTGTTGCTGTGTTGGTAACAGGGTTGTGGAGGGAGGGCATGGATGGAAATAGCTGCTCTCAAATGCCCCAACTTGGTACAGGTCTTTTTGGTGCCAGAACTGGCTAAATCCCAGGGAACACCTTGCCTTGTCTCAGAAGGGTGTTGTGGCAGCCACCACTGGTTCTCTTTCCTCAAGTCATTCCACTGACATCTGTTGGGAAATTGTAATAAACACACATGAACGTGAATGGTGTTCCCTGAGGTGTGTAGTGCACACCACATGGTAGCCTTTCCATAAGGGATTGCAGGGCTCTAATGGGAGCTTCCCCCAGGACTCAAGAAAGCAGCAAGGCCCTGCTTAAGGAGTGGGATCCTTTGGAAGTTTGCTGAGGGGCTGCAGATTTCCTGACAAACACCACAAGGGGATGTATGAAAAAGAACTGTTAGTATCTTAAGATAGTGTAATTAGGAATTTTTTTTTTCTCTTCTCAACTGTTCAAAAATTAGTATGGAATTACCTGGAAAAGTTGCAGCTATTCCCATTTCTCATGAAACTTGAAATGACCACAATAATGAAAGATTAAAGAAAACCTGCCTTGGCACTGGAACTAGAAGAGGGGGTACCCAAATGCCAGGACCTTGAGGGCGTTTCTGTTATTAGCAAACAAAATCCAGTAATTTATCAAGAGAACACCAAAAATGAAAGTGTTGGCTGCTATCAGAAAATGTGTTGACATATTTCATTTCACAAAATTAAAGCAGAAAAAATATGTGTTCATGCCACTATGCTGAAGATATATTTTCCAAAATCCAATAACCATTACAAATTTAGATTTTTTTAAGTGAAATACTGAAGTCTTTCATTAGAATCAGAGCAAGACAGGGTTACCTGCTAGTCAGCATTGTTTTATAGAAGGATAGTAACAGAATAGAAAAATTTTAAATTGTTATAACATCAGAAGAGAAATCGTTTTTTCCTGATTGTATGCCTAGAAAGCCTAAGAGATTCTAATAAGCTATGAGCACTAGGAAGAGAATACATTAAAGTAGCAGATACATAAAAACCAAAGACTTTTCTAAACTAGAATAAGTACCTAGAAAAAGAAATGAGGGAGAAAAATTCAATTCATAACAAAAACTTATCTAGGAATAAATTTTTCAAGAAAAAAATTGTCTTGTTGAAGGTTAGAAAATCTAACAATGAAAAGCTGTGTCACTTTATTTGAAAAACAGAAGTACTGTTTCAAAAATAAATATGAACAGTTCAGTTGCAATTAGAATGTAACATTTTTTAAAGTATCCAAAGATGGAAACAAGTAATTTGAAAAAGATGAAGAGTAAGGAGACCAGCAGCTGTAGAGGGGGGACTAGCCTTATGAATACAAAGTATCAGCGTAAAAGATAATTCTGCTTGTATCCTTCACTGTTCTTCCTTATAAAACTCAGGATCCCCTCTGACTAGTTCAAGCTGGAAAAGAATCTGGAAGCCCCAGAGATCCACGCCCTTTCTCTTAGCCTACCAGGAGTAGTACCTAGCCACATTCAGAGACTTACCCAGCAGCAGTCCACCCACCAGCGCCTGTGAGGACACTCAGGACTGAATGCCCAAGCTCCCTGGGGCTGCCTCTCCACTGCCCCCATAGCTGGGTTCTGCTCAGGCTGCCTCTTATTTTGCTCCTTTGTTAGTGTTTGGCAGAGGAAAGCTCATATCCAGGTCTGTCTGGATATGGATACTGGAGAATGAATGTTGGCTCTGTGGGGAACTCCAAACATAAAGGATGTTCAAATGTATTTACTGAGCAGCCAAAACAGGATTAATGGCCACTACACCAATGTAATCTGTTACCGCAAAAGGATAGCAAAATTGGTCGGGAAACGGTAGGATCTTCCAAAAATACATTTCCCAGATACAGGGAATTTTGTGTACAATTCAGATGGTGTTTTAGTTCAGCGGCAAAGGGATGATTTACTTAATAGATGATTTAATAACACAACTAATCTAACTGGAAGAAAAGTTGGACAACTCAAACCTGACATGAAAATAATTTCCAAATGGATTGAAATGTTAAAAAATCTTAAAAAGACAATACAAGGAACTATATGTAAAATGTAGGGGAAAGGAAGATAATTCTTTTCTTTTTTTGAAGGAAAATTATTTTTGCAGTTTTATTGAGAAATAATTGACAGTGCATCACTATACCACCATACACACAGGGAAGATAGTCCTGACCAAGACTGGAAATCTAGAAACCATAGAAAAGAAAATGGGACATACTTAACTGTACACAATTTTTAAACACTTTTAAGTGTTTTATTTTGAAATAATTACAGACTCACAGGAAGTTGCAAAAACAGTCCAGAGAGGTCCTGTGTACCCTTTCCCAATTTCCCCCAATTGTATTGTGTAACTATAGCACAATATCCAATCCAGGAAATAGAGGTTATTGGTAGAATCAACATCTTATTCAGACTTCACCAATCTCTCCTTGTATATGTGTGTATGTGCAGACTGCAGTTTTATCTGGATTTATGTAATCACCACCATGATTGAGAATACAGTACCATCCATGCTATGAGCTATGAAGGAATTGCCTGTGCTGTTTTATAGTCACACACACACCCTCCATGCCCTGATACTGCCCTCCTCGCTATCCACTGGCAATCACCAAATCTGTTGTCCCTGTAAGTTTGTCATTCTGAGAATAGTAAATATATGATACTGAATATCAAACAGTATATCATAGTGTATCATGGTTGGGTTTTTTTCATTCAATGTAATACCCTGGGGGTCTATCCAAGGTGTTGTGTTAATAGTTCGTTCCTTTTTACTGCTGAATTGTATTCCATCATATGCCACTGTTTGCTTAACCATTTACCCATTGAAGGACGTTTTGGTTGTTTTCAGTTTTTGTCTATTACCAGTAACGCCACCATGAGCATGTACAGGGTTTTGTGTTCATTTCTCTGGGATAAACTCCCAGGAATGCAATTTAAGATCATATGAGAAGTACATGTTTAGTTTTATAACTACCAAACTATTTTCCAGAGTGGCTGCACCGTTTACACTCCCACCACATGAAAGATCCCATTCCTCCACATCCCCACCAGCATTTGATATTGTCATGTTTTAAAGATGGTCTTATAGGTGTGTAGTGATATATCACCATGATTTTAGTTTGCATTGTCCTAATGGCTAATAATATTGAACATCTTTTATTGTTGGGCAAGGGCATTGAGACTGCCAGTTGACTCGTGAACCCCATCCCAGCAGTCAAAGGCTCCTCACGCCACCCCCCACTCTGTCCATGGAATGTGGGTTCCGCTTGCTTCCCACTCCCAGAACTGCCCGAAGGACATAGCCTTGAGATAATGATTTGGTGTTGAGATCATCTAGACTGTACATGTGACTGAACCCAGTTACGGCCTCTACATAAACTTTTAGGCTCCTGGTGGGCAAGTGCCAATATCTACTGTCTTGCAGCAGCCCAAGAGAAGCCTTGTATGCAAGTCTCTTTGCTCATCAAACCAGCCAGTCTGGAGTGGCCTCCCTCTTTCATTAGTCTCTCCCTGCCCTCCACTTGTAGACACTGGTTTCAGATTAAATCTGGGAAGCTTGTGGGGAGCATGTGAACCAACATCCACAGGCTGATTTACCTTCCATACTACCTTTGGTGAAATGTCTGTTGATGTCTTTTGCTCATATTCTATTAGGTTGTTGTTTTTTGACTAATTGAATTTTAAGAGTTCTTTACATTTTCCTTTGTCAGTTATATAGTTTGCAAATATTTTTTTTGCATATATAGCTTGGCCTTTCATTTTCTTTACAGGGTCTTTGCAGACCAAGAGTTTTAAATTCTGATATAGTCCAATTTAATGACTTTTTCTTTTATGGGTCATGTCTAAGAACTCTTCACCCAGCCCCAGGTCCCAAAGTTTTCTCTTCTAAAAATGTTACAGTTTTATGTTTTGTATTCAAATCTATGACAATTCTAAGTTAATTATTATATAATGTGTGGGGTTCAGATTAAAGTTCTCTCTCTTTTTTGGCCTATGAATTTCCAATTGCTCCACACCACTTGTTAAAGACTATCTTTCTGTTGAATTGCTTTTGCACCTTCATTGAGAATCAATGGTGGTACTTTGGTGACTAACCATACACAAATTTAAAACTTTTGTATAGTAAAAAATAACATTCAAAATGACTAGTCAGATGGAGTCTCAAAAAGCATGCAATACAGTTTACAAACCACAAGCTAATTCCTATGATACAGAAAGACAACAAGGGGAGAAAATGAGAAAAAATAAGCAAAAGATGGGAATAAGTAATTTACAAAAAAAATTATCTTCAAACATATCCAAAAATGCTTAAACTTCCTAGCACCAAGGGAACATAAAGAGTAAGAATGAGCTATCATTTTTTTATACCCATCAGACTGGCAACAGTTTCAAGAGTCATAATTCCAATTGCTAATGGGGATACAGAGAAAATAGTATTCTCTTTTACTGCAAGTGGTAGCATAAATTATTATAGCCCTTTGAAAGAGCAATTGGCTGCTATTTTAAAAATTAAAGGTGGCCATAACGAGCTAGGCAAGTTGATACTAAGTTTATGGAAAAGTAAACATGAAAATTAACTTAAGAAAATGCTGAAAAGGAAGGGCTGAGAAGAGAAACTAACCCTACCAGATACTATAACAAACTCCCAAGATGTGTGCAATTAAATGTATTCTTGAGGCACATGAATCAACAAATGAAACTATTGTTCACCACATGCCCAAGAACAAACTCCAAGTAGATCAGTGATCCAGATATTAAAAAATCAAACTGTCCAAGTGCTAAGAAAACTTGAATTCCTATACAATGTAGATATAATAGAGATATGCTTTCTGACTATGACTCAAAATCTAAGTGCAAAAAAAAAAGATTGATAAAACTTGACTCTACAGATAAAAAGATT